TGTGTGTGTGTGTGTGTGTGTGTGTGTGTGTGAGTGATATTAGATTTAACCAGGTAGGTCTCCCTTAAATTTAGATTATTATGGGAGACTTTTAAAATGTCCCTTAAAAAGGAGATTTTAATGTCTAAATTTTTTTACCTATACAATATATATATATATTTGATTTAACCAGGTAGATCTCCCTTAAATTTAGATTTTTATGGTAGACTTTAAAGTGTCCCTTAAAAAAAGAGATTTTAAGGTCTAAATTTTTTTTACCTATACATATTTTTTCCACTCAATTAATGTGTGATTTATTTATTTTCTATTATAAGTTTTATATCGTGATATATATCGTTACCGCCACTCATCATAATGTATATTGTGATATGAATGTTTTGCCATATCGCACATTCTTAGCAGAAACTCATGAATAAAAGTAATTTTGGTTGAAGTATTCAAATATTTTGCTAATAGACCAATTGTTTTAATCCAAATCTAACTGCTTTTTCATTCAATATAGCCAAAACATTCTTAGCAGTCAGTTTAACGACACAAAATTTGGAGTTATAGGACACACAGTAGGGTCTTAATCCCAATTAGATGAAAACTTGAAGTGCCTGTGACATCAACATTTGTAAGAAAAGTTAATGCTTTTTTGGGAAAGACATTATTTGCATATTACATAACTAATTTCACATTACTCAGATGGACAGTTTTTGAGATATTTGCATGTGAAATAACAGGAAGTGATGTCAAAGGGGAATATTTAATAAATAAATAAATGTTGCCAATTATTTTATTATTTGAGATAAATTACAATCATCCTATTTACAATGTGTTAACATTTTTAAGACTTCTGAAAGATTGATTTAAGACATTTTAAGGCTAATTAAGGCCTTATTTTTGGATTGATGAATTCAATGACTTTTAAGACTTTTTAAGGATCTGCAGGAACCATGTATATTCTGCTAATGTGGGTCTCATCAGGGCTGTGGAGAGTTTATACTGCAGTCTGATTGAGGTCACATATAATGTGAACATCTACGGAAAAAAATCGGTAGTAATCAATAGAGCCTTAATTTGCCAACACTTCTATCTGAACCATCTAAAATGTCTGTTTATGTCTGTTTATTCACAACAAATGCATAATTAAGTCGAAATAGCAACAATAGCAAATATTATTTTTGCCTACAACTTTTTAGGGACCAAAAACAAATAAATTAGGAGATGCCATTGCCTTCTAGGGGTCATGCCTTTGCACTTTGAGAACCACTGCTTGGCCTCAGTATTCTCACCTCTTTATAAAATCCTGTGCTTCCCCCAGCAGTCTCTCGGGCAGCGTGTCCAACGTCATGGGCTGTTCGATCACATCCTGGTTCCTCATAATGATGCAGTTCCAGACGTGCACCAGCTTAAAAGGAACAACCCAGACGGCGGCTGCTGCCACGCTGAGAAGGAAGAGCAGCACCAGGAGCCAAAGTCTGACTTGGAGGAGGCCAACAACACGAACAAACAACTGAAAATAAACACAGACACGTTCAAAAAGATCCCACCTCCTCTCGTATACCTGCGGTGGAAAACTGACACCTTCATAATACTTATGACACTGTGACTAAGTTAGATTCCTGTGGTATTTCAAGATAAAGCTTTTACGTGACATTTGAAACTAAGACAGGTTTTTAATTCCACTGTGTAAACGTATTAAAGCACCGGGTCCTTTGTTCACACATGCAGTTTTGTGTGATGTTTATACGACGCACTTAAAAACAGAGTTATTTGCGATTATCAACACAAAACTAACTAGCTGCGGTTCTCGTATCTCCTCATAAACTTTCCCTCATTAAATCTAAAGTTTGTTTCAAGCTTTATTTTTTACTTTGCTCTACCTGTGGCACAGCTGGTTCCCATTTGTCCCACAGGCACTTTTTGCTCGCCAAGTCTCCCCAGAATTTCAGTTTCAACATTCTGCTTTCCCTCGAGGCAAGTTCAAGGTTGGTGTAACTGTGAGTTTCACAACTGCTGCTTCTGTTCTCAATCTTTTTTTTTTTTCAAAGCCTCCTGCACTTGTCTAAGAGATTCTACGTCGGTTGTGTTGCTGTGGAGGTAATGGCACAACAACTCGTTGTTTTTTGAGTTTCTTTCTCTTTTGCGTTTCAAAAAAAATCTGTTTTGCTTTAGTTTTCAAATCCACTTTTCTCACATTGCATGTGTCTGAAGTAATGCTTGTTTTCCAAATGTATTTGTTTTGATTAAATGTGTGGAGAATAGAAATAAAATGAACAAAACTGAGATGAATAATACCAACTGTTGTCAGAAGGCCAAGTCCGAGCAGCACGGTCAAATTCTGGAGTGAACGTTGTATATCCACCAGCAGCTCGCTGCCCTTACCCAACCCACAGTCATTAAACAGAGTAAATGGGAGGCCATAGAAGTAGCTGAAGCCATGCTGGTTCGGGTGATGGCAGTGATCCCCTCTGTGCTCACAGTTCAAACCCAAGTGCCATTTGCCTGAGGACACACAAAGAGTGAACGTAGGAATAAGAGGCCTAGCATTCCTGGAAGGGATGTGTATTTGCCTGTCGCCTTTCATGCTAAGGTTTTGAACTGAGATCATCTCATGTTGAAAAGATTATARCTGTTTTGGTCAAGTCTTGAATAGGGCTGCCACAAACKATTATTTTTATAATCGATTAATCACTGATTATTTWTTYGATTWGTYGACTAATCRGATCATAYGTTAATTGAATATAAAACATACAGCTTATCRYGCCAGAATGCAGCTGCTATTATATAACCATTGTTAGATTTTAGCTATATGCTAACTAAAAGTAATTGCTGTGGAAGGCAAGTTCTGCCTTGCAGATATAGCATTGCACAGGTTTCTCTTTCATTTTCTTAAAATGATCCCACACTTTTGAGCTCCGTTGCTGGGTAGCCATGATACCAGAGCCTGTCTGTATAATGTCTTGTGACGTCCACGGCCTACCCCAATTACCACTACTGTGCATGTGTGTCAAGGACAGAAAGGCAGATGTGGCAGTGGAAGGTGTCAAAGCAGTTTGGAGAGAAAAACAAAGAACAAAAAAAAAAGAAACAGATTAATCGATTATTAAATTAGCCATCGATTATTTTAATAATTGATTAGTCGTCGACTAATCGACTAATCGTGGCAGCCCTAGTCTTGAAAATAATGTTGTGTGTAATCTCAGGAGATATTGTCAGATATTGCTGGATTATGTGTGAGCAGCTAATCAGTTGTAGATGACAATGAGTACTTTGAGTTTCAATAAAATCAGTTCAGAGKTTTCTAATATTTTGCCAAAAAACAGCAGAAAACAGCAAAACTAAACTATGTTGACTTCAGTTAGTAGCACACCAAGTTCTATCTCAAYATCTATAAAACTATTTCCTTTACATACATTTTTGTGTTGAGAATGACTCTAAAATTTAATCAGTGGAATACGTACACCTAATGGTTACTTGCTGAGCATTTCAATAAGGTCAACCTAGTGGATCACTGGTATCACATTAGAGTTAGGCAAAATCACATTGTCTGTAACTAATCATCAGAAAAACTGTCAATAATTAATATTTGCCACTAGCCAGTTACTGCAATTAGTGTCATGTGGTGACGACATATTCTTCAGTGCGACATATTGAGTGCAGAGCAACTAATGCCAAGCTTAACCCTTTAATATTGATTAATTAACCTGAAACAATGACATAAACCGGAAAAAGGAAAGCCAGAAAATGCAGAAAAAGGCCACAACATTGGCTACATAAGGACCCACCCCATTTTAACGGTGCATTCCAGTTGTCCTTGGAGGTCACATTTTTGCACTTCCGAGTTGTAATTTTCAACTGGAATGCCCCCTGATGTCGTAATTTTGAGTTTTTGGCAGTTCTGTATCGTCAGACATACTTGTAGTACTTAATAGTGATTATTAGAAGATATGTTTTAACTCTGTTTGTACCCTCAAAATGCCTCGTAGAGCACTAATGTTGTAAGTGGTWTTGTTGCAGAGCAAAAAAATAGAAACGCTGGCTTCAGAATTTTGAGTTCTGCYACAGCTGGAACCCATCATAACACTGAGAAATGTTTCTTATTAAGGTTTAACATTAACTTTTAAGTCACAAAGTTCCTAAGTGACATCTACTTAACATCCTGATTCAGTCATGTAATAGGCAGGAACTCTGGATACTTAAGTTTTTATTTCCAAAGTCTCGGTGCACCTAGGCAGCTATGGTGATAAGCTAATTTTAGAAACTTTGTTTTGTCTTAACAAAGGTAAGTTTTAACTCATACAGCTGTTCTAATCCTTARATAACATGTCCTATTTCACCCATAACCTAGTTTGACAGCATTTCTAAAACAAYTTAATATAGAATAGGTTTGTCAAATATCAATGTGACATACAGTATATGTGACATTTCTACTGGGAGGTATTAAAAAAATTAAAAATTCAGAAAGGTTTTACATAATCCATTTGTTATCATTTACATCCCCCATAATGTTCATGAAAAGTAAAAATATTTCTGTGTTGTAATTGCCACATTAATTGTTATCAGCTAAATGCCATAATAAATCACGGTGTTTTTTACCAATATTGCCCAACCCTACATTACATGCTACATGTGCACAAACTCAGGCAAAACATTATYGGCCCTTCACTTTAAAAAGTAGGCATCAACAAAGTAACAGAACGTCAAAAAACAAAATCATAATCACATCTCAGCTGATGATTTTTTTTTAAAGCTCTTGCTTATAACTGTCTGGTTTACTTGCACACAGCAGTGGATGCCACATGCAAACTAATTAGTTTTAAACGTTGAAGTTTACTTGTAACAAATTACCCTTCAAAGCAAACAAAATAAATAAAATAAATTTAAAAAACAATGTACAGCACAGACAAATCTACACTCAATCATATTCATACAACATATTAGAAATAAAGCTGATCACATCTCACCTATAAGACCAGTAGTGTATCCTTGGTGCTGCAGCCTCTTTGCAAAGGTGGTCTCGCCGGGTGGAAGTCCCCCTGAACCTCCAAGAAACATCAACACCTGCACACGCCCCACGCCTACCATCCCTAACCAGTACACAGACACACGATGACAAAAAGAATGAACAAAAGGTGTTGTATTTGAATAGATTTAATGAAAAATATAGGCACAATGTTACCTGAGCGGATTGCGTAACGACCGGTCATGAAAGCAGCCCGGCTCGGGGAGCAGAGAGGAGCAGCAGCAATGTGCTGAGTCAGCTTTACCCCCTCCGATGCCAGTCTGTCGATGTTAGGGGTCCTGCAGAGGCAGTGGGATTACAGAACAGGTTTACGCACAGTTGAAACATTGACGGTGCTTCTGTTATATCAAACGATCTCATTAAACACACAACCATGATTCTAAAACCTGCCTGATGGTATCATTGCCATAACAACCTATATCCCCAATCCCCAGGTCATCCACCATCATGAGGACAAAGTTGGGCTTGTCCATCACCTCTCCTGTGACGTCACTTCCAGCTACTAGGAGCAGGGGGAGAAGAAGAGGCGCCAGCATGGCAGACCTGAGCAGAGACAGAGATTTTTTAACCTATTTTTTTATTTTTTTATTCTAGCTTGAAAATTTTAAATAAATAAATAAACTTTTACTTGCTAAAACCTTAACTTGTTTTCTGATTTCAGTCTTCTTTGAGGGCTTATTTATTAGCAATTTGAGTTTAAACTGTTTTATAGCCAAGTATTCAAAGGTTTGAAATTAGTTTTATTTTTAAATAATCTCTCTCATTTCATACAACTCCTGCGTGTTGATTCTGAAAAGAAATAATTACACTGCAGATGCAATGATGCTTAATGATGTTCGCAGAGTCTCCTGGTGACATTTAGCGCGTGACAAACTAATTAAAAAGAAGTTAATTTGAAAAAGCTGAAGTGTGAATGCTTCCAGAGAAGCAACCCGCTCGGGGGAAAATAAATAAATAAATAAACAAGTCAACATAATATACACTTGGCTGCATGTCCTAAAATGACTACATTTCAGCTGATTACTTGTTTGTTGCAGCAGACAATCAATTCACAGCTGTTTTTGATCAATAATCAATCTTTGCAGCTGGAACTCACCTCGTTGTCGCTTTAGTTCCTACTTGGTTGAAGCTCCGCCCCCTCAGGCTGTTCGGTAATAACTGGATTATCTGCGAACTATGATATTTACCTTAAAACAGTAAAACGCGCCACAAAATATTTTTGCGTCCTGCAACTTCATGGTGATGGGCTGCTGTTATGGGCATAATTTTTAGTCATATATATTATGCCCATATGCTGTAAACTCCACAAACAATTGTCGCCCCTGAAAAGATGAAGGCGGACGATAATGTAATAAACAATAATAAAAAATAATGTAGATAAAAACCTCATTAACCACTTGGATTGTATTTAAACGTTCAGTAAGAAATCTCAAACAAAGAAAAAACTATGACACCGTAAGTTGTACATATATTTATAAACAAATGGATGTTTATAAAAATGAATTCATGAAAATATGTTTAAGTTCATTTAAATGAGGTCATCACCTTTACCCACACTGCAGTTTCTGTGAAGGTGTCGATTCTGTGGCTTCAGCTTGAGTC